GCCTGCAGCCATGTTTCTTTGGCCTGCCCCACTTTCTATTATTCTACTATGCTGTTTCTATTGTGGGAAAATAGGAGGGGGGATTGTACGGAGTTAGATGCTATGTAGCCATAACAACATTCTTTCTAGAAAGCCAAGGTCATCCTCTGTCTTTGTACCTCTGCACCTGACCGGAATTGGATGGGTGGAAGCTGCCATCATGGCAGTGGGAGATGGGACCAGGGGATGGACTGGTGGGTGTGGGGAGGGCAAGATCTTGAACTTTCAACTGGGTGGGGAAAACCGGGAAGCTTTCAGATTCGAGTTTTCCCAGATGTGCCAACGTGTCTCTCTTAATAAATTGGAACTTTGAGCACTCCTTTGCCTTGGACTCTGATTTAATTTTGGATGCTATTTGGAACCCTGACATTAACCCGAATCTTAAGTGAAAGAATCCCCCTGTTTAGGTGATCACATCATGATAAGATACGGAAAATGTCCTAGGATCATGTGATCAAGGGATCACCACATAATCCTAGGACACTGAAAGCATCATATAGAGAGGCCCGTTACCAAGTGTCCAAATTTTGATCACGACACCGTGAGAACTGATCCTAAGTCAATTTTTTCAGCATCGTCATGTTTAACCAGGCACTAAACGGATGGTCATAAGTCGAGGACTGCTCTAGGGGAAGTAAAAAAAAACAAGGTGTCTGGGACTTCCACTTGTCTCCTCTTACGGCCACAACTGAGCCCTGAATATCCATGGCTGAGTGAGACAGACGTTAAGTGAATTTGGTCCCATTTTACGACCTTTCTTGCCACGTTCAGTAAGTGAATCACTGCAGTTGTTAAGTTAGCAACACGGTTGTTAAGTGAATCCGGCTTCCCAATGGACTAGGCTTGTCGGAAGGTCGCAAAAGGGAGTCAACGCGACCCCCCCCCCCGGGGGGAACACTGCAAACATCATAAATATGAACCGTTGGCCATATGTGTGGATTTTGATCACGTGATGTTTCAACGGTCATTAAGTGTGAAAAATGGTCCTTTTTTCAGGGCCGTCGTAACTTTGAATGGTCACTAAATGAATTGTTGTAAGTCGAGGACCAAACTTTACGCCATCCAGAATGGTCCTTGTTGAGGGATGATGGGAAGTTAGGATCTCTAACGAGGAAACAGATTGGGGGGGGGGGNTAAAATGAAGAAAATTGCATCCTAAAAATATTTCTTTAAAAAAAAAAATGAAATTTCCTTGCTTACAGCTCTCATACAGCCGGTCCGGAGTTTGGCGGTTTGGAAAAGTGTTGTTTCGGTTGGAAAAGCTGGTTTCGTTTTGTTTTTTTCTAACCCCATAGATGAGCGGAGGAGCAAGAATTCAGGATGCAAATAAATTTAATAGATAACTTAAGAAATAAAACATCCTAGGGATCAGTGATGGGTTAGGGATCCCGGTGCAAGCGGTACGATGAAACGGGGCCTCGCGGCCTCCACATAAACACACGCACCGCCCCTCACCTCCCAGCCACTCCTCACCTGCCTGCCCGGGCTCCTTTAAGGCTCCAATAGGAAGCAGTTACCTGAGGGTCCTTAGCTCCTGCGACGCCTCCACGACGCTCCAGCTGCTTGGCGGAGCATCGCGCAGACGCCATACGCTGCGGGAGCGTGCGCAGATTGCCTGTTTCCTTCAAATAGAGGTAAGGAACAAGTGCGGGCGAGTGGGCTCTAGAGCACTGTACCGGAATGGTTCCAAGCAGAGGGAAGACCAGCGGGAGTGCAAGGCCAGGTGCCGGCGCCTGGAGGCTCAGCGGGCTGAGATGGTCATCCAGTTCCAGGCCATGATGCAGTCCCACCGGAACAAGGCCCTCCGGCTCTTCCCTACCAGCAGTGCTTCCCTCCAGCCTTCGCCCAAAGCCCCCCACCAGAAGGCCAAAGCAGACCCCAAGTGGGAATTTCTGCCCCCCTCCGTGCCGCACAAAAAGACCCCGAAGGGGGAGACTCTCTGCAGCAACACAAGCGTTCATTGCACGTGTCCGTCCCAGGGGCCGTAGTTTGAGGACCCGATTTAGCACAATATCAAAAATGCAAAGTATGTACTAGATTTTAAAGTGACGTGACGGCACTTGTATACTGTTGCTCTTTAATTCCACTGTAAAAATAGGACAAGCTGAATAT